CAGGGCCCTGCTGTTTGAGCGTGGCGGAGGCGCCGTTTCTGAGCTTGGCAATTCCCATCCGGGAGCTGTCTTTTGAACAGAAGGAGTACCAAGAGCAGGACCAGCAGCAGCAGCAGCAGGAGGAAAAAGTAGCTAAAAAATCATCCTTTTCTATGGGTTTCAGAAGTTACATTAGGGAGTTTTTGGTCGCAATTTTGATGCTTTTCCGTCCTTCAGGGCCCTGCTGTTTGAGCGTGGCGGAGGCGCCGTTTCTTTGAACAGAAGGAGTAGCAAGAGGAGGAGCAGCAGCAGCAGGAGGAAAAAGTAGCTAAAAAATCATCCTTTTCTATGGGTTTCAGAAGTTACATTCGGGAGTTTTTGGTCGCAATTTTGATGCTTTTCCTGCTGTTTGAGCGTGGCGGAGGCGCCGTTTCTGAGCTTGGAAAGCTAGAAGATGGCTACTTTTCGTGTAATTTGGGAAAGCAACGTTAGGCCGCTGGGGCCGTTGCCGGCAGGCCCAGTCCGTCCTTCAGGGCCTTGCTGTTTATAGGTTCAGAAAGCAACGTTAGGCAGTAGGGGCCGTTGCCGGCAGGCCCGGTCTGTCCTTCAGGGCCCTGCTGTTTGGGCGTGGCGGAGGCGCCGTTTCTAAGCTTGGAAAGCTGGAAAACGGCTACTTTTCTTGTAGGTTCAGACAGTAATGTGGGGCATTGCCGTGCTGTGTGGCAACCTTAAGCTGGAAACTTCATCAGGTCTGCACGCGCCACTGGTTGGTGCGACACTGCCGGCCGCTGGGATTGCGATGCGTTACCCGAATTTGGCCGGAAGCCAGTGTTGAGTGCACCACCGTGCCGCATGTTGGACATGCATGCGAGTATGTGCGGCCTGCGAGCAGGCCATTGGCAACGCGAAATTGTTTGCCGCAGCCCTTACTGCGGCGGTGATCGACGCGCCCGGTTGCCACAGGGCTTTGTACAGACTTGGCACAGTACGGGCAGATGTATGTGTGCAGTTGTGGCGGTGCTGTGTTGGGCCCTACAGCACGCGGCTGGGTCGATGAATGGATCGCATCCATTTTTTGACCGGTAGCAACCTCATTTGTAGTTTTCTCTTCGCACGTCAGCGCCGCCGCAACTGTTTTTTCCCTACTGCTTGCCTGCAAGAGGCCGGCCGACGCCATGTCAGCAGAGCGCATTTCCACGGGATCTGTCGAATGATCATGTGTGCGTGCTTTCTTGTTTGCAGCGATTGCTTCCCATGTCTCCTGGATAATGTGCCTGCGGCGAATTCTTTTCCGGAGGGGCTCTAGGCGAGCTGCACTGGAAGCAGCAGCGCGCTTACGGACTGCATGCTGCAATTTCGCAGCATGGCATGCGTCGCATATCTGCGTTCCATTTTCGCCAGTTCGAAAAGTGGTGCCGCGACCGCCGCTGGTGGCAGACCGCGCATTTCCAAGAGCCGCGGGTCTTGGTCTGGCATTGCAAACACAATCGACGTTTGGGATCCCGCGTTTGCCAAGCTACATGGCTAAAGTATTCTTTCGTCTGCTTTGTCTGGCATAAAAAACATTGCTTTTTTGCATCACACGACAGACAAACGCGATACATGCTCCATCGCCAGTCAGCATCCATTCTTTTGCTTTCAAACAACTCTTTATGATTCACTGATGTGCCTTTCCCGTGCGAAGACTATGTCTCGCGCACGGGGAGGAGGACACACCACCCCCGAAAAACGGAAAGCAAAAGGATGGATGCTTGAGCTTCATGGCAGGGATAGGGACTAGCAAAATTTCAATTCAACACACAAGTATATACTATTTGATGCATATATATATATAATGTATATATAAAGCATCCAGGCTGACAACTCACAGAACACTCGAATGAAGCCAGCTTTCTCTTTTCCGGGGTCGGCGGCAGGGGCGGCAGCCCTTAAATATATTAGATAAGTAAATAGATAGACAGACAGACAAACAAACAGATAGACAGATACTTAGAAAGATAAATTAGATTAGATTAGATTAGATTAAGATTTAGATTTAGATTTAGGATTTAGATTTAGGATTTAGATTTAGGATTTAGATTTAGGATTTAGATTTAGGATTTAGGATTTAGAATTAGGATTTAGAATTAGGATTTAGATTTAGGATTTAGATTTAGGATTTAGAATTAGGATTTAGAATTAGGATTTAGAATTAGGATTTAGAATTAGGATTTAGAATTAGGATTTAGAATTAGGATTTAGAATTAGGATTTAGAATTAGGATTTAGAATTAGGATTTAGAATTAGGATCTAGAATTAGGATTTAGAATTAGGATTTAGAATTAAGATTTAGAATTAGGATTTAGAATTAGGATTTAGAATTAGGATTTAGAATTAGGATTTAGAATTAGGATTTAGAATTAGGATTTAGAATTAGGATTTAGAATTAGGATTTGGAATTAGGATTTAGAATTAGGATTTAGAATTAGGATTTAGCATTAGGATTTAGCATTAGGATTTAGCATTAGGATTTAGCATTAGGATTTAGCATTAGGATTTAGCATTAGGATTTAGCATTAGGATTTAGCATTAGGATTTAGCATTAGGATTTAGCATTAGGATTTAGCATTAGGATTAAGCATTAGGATTTAGCATTAGGATTTAGCATTAGGATTTACAATAAGGATTTAGCATTAGGATTTAGCATTAGGATTTAGCATTAGGATTTAGCATTAGGATTTAGCATTAGGATTTAGAATTAGGATTTAGAACTAGGATTTAGAATTAGGATTTAGAATTAGGATTTAGAATTAGGATTTAGAATTAGGATTTAAAATTAGGATTTAGAATTAGGATTTAGAATTAGGATTTAGAATTAGGATTTAGAATTAGGATTTAGGATTAGGGATTAGAATTAGGGATTTAGGATTAGGATTTAGAATTAGGATTTAGAATTAGGATTTAGAATTAGGATTTAGAATTAGGATTTAGAATTAGGATTTAGGATTTAGAATTAGGATTTAGAATTAGGATTTAGAATTTAGAATTAGGATTTAGAATTAGGATTTAGAATTAGGATTTAGAATTAGGATTTAGCATTAGGATTTAGCATTAGGATTTAGCATTAGGATTTAGCATTAGGATTTAGCATTAGGATTTGGCATTAGGATTTAGCATTAGGATTAAGCATTAGGATTTAGCATTAGGATTTAGCATTAGGATTAAGCATTAGGATTAAGCATTAGGATTTACAATAAGGATTTAGCATTAGGATTTAGCATTAGGATTTAGCATTAGGATTTAGAATTAGGATTTAGAATTAGGATTTAGGATTAGGATTTAGGATTAGGATTTAGAATTAGGATTTAGAACTAGGATTTAGAACTAGGATTTAGAACTAGGATTTAGAATTAGGATTTAGGATTAGAATTAGGATTTAGAATTAGGGATTTAGAATTAGGATTTAGAATTAGGATTTAGAATTGGGGATTAGAATTAGGGATTAGGCGGGATTAGGATTAGGGATTAGAATTAGGGACTAGAATTACGGATTAGAATTAGGGATTAGAATTAGGGATTAGAATTTTAGGGATTAGGATTAGGGATTAGGATTAGGGATTAGGATTAGGGATTAGGATTAGGGATTAGGATTAGGGATTAGGGATTAGGGATTAGGATTAGGGATTAGGGATTAGGGATTAGGATTAGGATTAGGGATTAGGATTAGGGATTAGGATTAGGGATTAGGGATTAGGGATTAGGATTAGGGATTAGGATTAGGGATTAGGATTAGGGATTAGGATTAGGGATTAGGGATTAGGATTAGGATTAGGGATTAGGATTAGGGATTAGGATTAGGGATTAGGATTAGGGATTAGGATTAGGATTAGGGATTAGGATTAGGGATTAGGGATTAGGATTAGGGATTAGGATTAGGGATTAGGATTAGGGATTAGGATTAGGGATTAGGATTAGGGATTAGGATTAGGGATTAGGATTAGGGATTAGGATTAGGGATTAGGATTAGGGATTAGAATTAGGGATTAGGATTAGGTTAGGATTAGGGATTAGGGATTAGGGATTAGGATTAGGGATTAGGATTAGGGATTAGGGATTAGGATTAGGGATTAGGATTAGGGATTAGGGATTAGGATTTGGGATTAGGATTAGGGATTAGAATTAGGGATTGGGATTAGGATTAGGGATTGGGATTAGGATTAGGGATTAGGGATTAGGATTAGGGATTAGGATTAGGGATTAGGGATTAGGATTAGGGATTAGGGATTAGGATTAGGGATTAGGATTAGGGATTAGGATTAGGGATTAGGGATTAGGGATTAGGGATTAGGATTAGATTAGATTGGGATTAGATTAGATTAGGATTAGGTTAGGTTAGATTAGATTTAGATTAGTTAAACAAAAAATAAAACAAATACAAAACACACAAAAAAAACACATTTTTCAAATCTATTTTGCACATAACTCTGATTTCCCAGACTTCCAAACCACCAACCCAAACCGCCATATAAGTATAACCTGACCTCAGGTGCCTTGAAATGAGTGTGCCAACCAAAAATATCAAAAAATGGCATCCGGGTTTTGAACCCGCGACTAAAGAATACCAAAGGTTGCTTGTTTGCCATGACCACTGTCACATCACTGCTTACATTGCGCGCCATGGTCTCCTTGATGGCATCCAATGAGCTCATCACCTCATCCATGTCTTTGCTCCACTGCGTCAGCGCAGCCTTGTAGGGACGTGGCATCTGGACCCTGTGGGGGACCTTCCAGGAACCATCAAGATCCCATGTTTGAAGACCCATCAGGGAGGACTCCATGGTGTTCAACCGATCCCGCATTCAGGGGCCTCAGCATCCTCTTTGGCTTTCTGTTTTGCCTGCAACTTCTCCTCAACAAGGCAATGACCAAAAATGGACCATTTTTATGTCATCTACAAACAGCTTGGAATGCCCCAAACTTTCAGGCCATAGACTTCGACAAAAGAGTGAACTCCAAGCTTGACGATGGCTGTAGCTCCAGACCGTCAACTCTACTCCGCTGAGCTCCCAGACATCGGCGGCTTCTAAGTGCTGCCTCGCTTCCGCCACCTCCAAGTTGTGGTCTCTCCATCACTAATGCCAAATGCCCAATCTTCACAGAGTCAACATACATGACCAGTTGTCATGTGGTATATGGATGTATATGGTAAACCCAATGATAAACTGTCCTCAAATGCATCAGAAATGGGTGGTATGAACCATCCACTCCAGTTTCAGTACCCACCTGAGCGGAGAAACCTTCGTCTTCCGCCTCCTCTTCCTGGTTTCCGTAGAGACACGCAAAGTCGCCTGGCTGCTTGGAATGGGGGCATCATGCCACATCAGCAACATCTTAGAAATGCTATTCTTGGTCATCTGTTTTTGCGAGGATCTTGGGCGTAAGCAAATGAAGAAATTAGGTTGAGGCAGGTTTAGGATAGCCAGATAGAGCTAGCATGTCCTCCAAAAAGTATCTCGCAGCCAATCTTTGCCAGTGGTGCTCAGCCCAATAGTGGGCTCAGAAAGCCAACCTTTCCCATCGTTGGCATCCTCTGTTGCAGCCAGCTGAACAGCTTCGTCCTGCGGAACTGAGCCATGGCAGCCATGAAGTCACCTGGTGAAATCTGGTGAGTCCAGCTGCATTTTGGCATTTGGGGATGGGTCAAAACCCTGGTACCTAGTGAACCCCAAAATAGCTGGTAAATGGATGTTTAGCATGAACTATCATGAACTCACTTTCTCCAAAACTTGGAGGATATGAGAAGCAAGCTCCAAGCGTCCGTCACCGACATCCACGGATCGTGTCGCACATCCAATTTCGCTGGCTCCTCACCATGTTTCTCTCGCAGTACTTCACGAGTCTCACCCTTGGCACAGCACAGTGTTGCAACGATTTGTCCCCAATCTTTGAATGGCACATGGGTTTGATTCCACTGGTTCCTCGCCATTTTCCCTCGCAACATGTGCAAAGATCATCGAAGATCCAGGTGGGGCCTTATTTCTTCCCAAATTTTCAGACGCCATGTGAAACTCCAGGCCCAACCCCAACCATCCAGCTGAGCCTTATTGGGATCGACCCATTCAAAGAGGGCGCGAATTTCTTTTGCCTGGCAAATTGGCACATCTTGATCTCCTCAAAACAAAAATGTTCCTCAGGTTCCACAGGTGTCCAACATCTTCCAACAAAAGTCACTCCTTTTGACCGTTTGACCCCTGGAGGGCTGTCGACTTAAAGTCCAGCGCCGTTGGCATTTGCACAACGGGATGCTATTTGTCCCAAGATTCGTCACATCCAACAGCTGCTGTGGCGACGTGCGCAAAGGCGCAATGAAAAATGTCCACGGGGGTCAAAGTGGGCGAGACGCATCACAAGCATAGCCGATCAAAAGATCCCAAAAATCTGAAGGCTGTGATTCACCAAGATCACTGTTCGTCCACTTTTGGACAGAAGGTCCTAAGGTCACCTCTCATGGTTTCAATTTGCGCTATCAAGCTGCAAGGGTTTGGTTCCCATCAGAGCATGCATTTTGCATCTTTGCATCTTCTTGGAAGTCTCTCGCGTTGGGCGTACTTGTAGATCTACCATTCTTTCACGGCTTGATCGGGGTTGGTGGGGTCACCAAGGTGGCATCATTCAGTAAAAAAACACCCGGGCAACGAATCTGCGGTCAAGAGATGGGTGCCAAATTGTTGCTGTGCGCGACTGAGACATGGCTGAACCGGAGTGTGAAACCAGTGTGTGAGTCCTTCAAATATCGAACATCTCCAGCATTTCGGGAAGTTTTAGGATTGATCGGATGCTAGTTCTTTCCCACTCCGGTACCAGAATGCCTCAGCATGGATACAGTATTCCAGATGTCTCTTTGCAAATCTCGTGTCTATTTCCACAAGCCATTGGGGTCACTGGGCAGGACCACTATTCTGTGGCCACATCATAGGCACCGGCATCCAATTCGCCTGGTTCGCTTCCATGAAGACCTAGGCAGCAAGGACCAGACCACTGAAACAACATCGCTGCATGGACTGAGGCATCCGGCTCCTGCAGTCCCAGCCAGTCCTGTCGTCATTTTCTAAAGATCAGTATGGGGGTAAACCATGGTAAACAATGGTAAACCTCTGCTCCATCCAAATCTGATTACGATTGAATTTGGTGGGACCAGCTTCAAGGCAAATCCACCTTTTCAGTACTCCAAGCCACATCTTGCAGCGTCCTCCAAAAGCAATTGGAGGAGGATCGTTGCCGCCTTTCCCTTGGCAAGCCTCATCCAACCGAGGAATCCGCATGATTTGGGTTTGAACACTCCTTGATTTGTAGCAACTGCGTAACCGTGTCAGGACGAATTTCTAGGGAGGTGCACAAAGCTGTATCAAAAGACCAGCACTAGCTAGACATTGCCAGTTGCACGCCGGAAGTCTCCTGCCTTTGGAACGAATAGAGGAAGCCCTCCATACATTTGTGTAAAACGCCTCAAATTCGCTGGTTTCCAGTGGCTGAGGCTTGCTGACTGACTGCAAGTGGTGTTACGTACACAGAGAATCTAAAGCATCGGAATATACACAAAAAAACAAAAAAAAAACATGAGTGAAGCAGTGAAGCCCTATCCTGCTCCAGTACGAAGTGCGTTGGCCCTACTGGCCTTCATAGACCAAGACTGACGCTTTTGACAGGTAGCCCAGTGCCCAGTACCAAACATCCCATAGCCAAGACACGGCATGTGCATCACAGGCATTGGCATCATCTGCGGCATCATGGCTGGCTGGGCGCCAGCTGGAACCGCTACCTTCATGGTCCTAGGCTCTGGGGAGGACCCCCAGCTTGGTTCGGGAGGGGCCCCAACAGATTTTAAAGGCGATCGAAAAAAAATGAAGAATCCATGATTGTAAAGAGGGATCCTGGGATCGATCATTTGCTGGGGATTGAAATTGCTATTGCCAAGAGTCATCTCCGAGATTGATGGTGATGTGTTTTTTGTTGTTGTTGCTTCATCAGTGATATGAGAATATGTGAAACTATGGACTTTCCCATCTATGGTCAGCATGGGACATTGTATGGTGAGTGTACAGTTTGATCTATGATCTGGTCGTTTGGAGTCTGAATGCACAAGCTGATGAAGCACTGAGGGGTCAGGGGTCTACCATTCTGCCGTTATGTCGTGACCGTATCTCCGTAAGTCCCAAAATCGTGACATCGAACCGAAACTGCTGCGAAACCAAAGCGATGTTGGCCGAGCTGCTCTTGATTCTGCTCGCAAGGCGCAGGCCCTGACCGGACAGCGCAGTTTGCAAATTCACAGAACTCTGAACTCTGCAAACGTCAAGAATTACATTGGCGTAGGGGTCAGAAATGGACTCCTGGGTTTTGAATGTGTGACATCCGCCTGCTTCCTTTACGATGCTGGTTCGGGGGTAAACCACACACAATTCCTCCCTCTTGTCAGCCACGAAAGACTTACGATCACCAAAACCGATCGACCCTCTCGGAGAAAATTCTACAGTCAGCCCTCTCAAACCTTGCTTATGTCCATAGGCGAAGAATGAAAAGCACTCAATAAAACCCATATTATACACTGTAGTCACAATATTTGGTCTTGTCCAAAAATAGTAAATGCCCCAAATGGCAATTTCTAACCAGAGAAATGATGCTTAACCACCGGGTTTATATGTGTATATGTATATATATACAATCTATACAATATATACGATCTATATACGATATATACAATCTATACAAGATATATGTATGTGTATATATATATATACATATGTGCAAATATCATATATATATATATATATTGAATACACATATATATATATATACACATTTATATATATATATGAATACATATGAATATATATATATAGATAGATAGATAAGATAGATAGATAGATAGATATATATATAGATGACGATAGATAGATAGATAGATAGATAGATAGATAGAATGATAGATAGAATAGATAGAATAGATAGATAGATAGATAGATAGATAGATAGATAGATAGATAGATATATATATAGATAGATAGATAAGATAGATAGATAGATAGATATATATATATATGAATAGATATCAATATATATATATATATGAATAGATATCAATATATATATATATGTATACATATGTAGATGTGTATATATTATATATTATATATATAGGGTCAAAAAATCCTACAGTTGGACATCCCACCCGGCATCCGGCAGAGATTACCCAGGCCTGCCGCAGGTTTCGGTACAGCAGCTGGCGGCTCCTGCAAATCACAAAAAAACACAGCCGTACACATCAACAGTGGCTTTCAATGCTCTGTGTGTATATCGTATATACTGGGTATATATATATATTGTGTAGTTTATATCATATGTTATATATTGTATTACTTATATTATATTATATTATATTATATCATATTATATTATATTATATTTTATCATATCATAATATATATATATATTATGTATTAATACAATTCAAAATCTCAAACCCCAATCGATCATGTGTGTTGGTGCACCTATGAGTCAGGCCCTTGTGACCCAGCTGGCCTCACTCTGACGCC